ATGTACTGATCATTTCATCCATTTTACTGATCACTTAAATCGTAGCCATTTTATACCAATATAAATGAATAATTGTTTCTTTTGTTGAATAGGTCTTGCTACTGTATTTAAAGAAAAATTAGTTGATAAATCATTTATAATTGGTAGTACGGTTATATAGTAAGATGTAAAGTTGAAGAAAATCCATTTCCACCCATATTTTGATTTAGAAATGATGAATTTATTATTGCAGATGATCGAATAGAATTTGCACAAGATGAAGATGGCCTCTATACATTAACAATAATACATTGTCAAGTAAGTGATATTGGTATGTATTGTTGTGTTGCTAGAAATCTATATGATGCTACTTCATGTAAAGATTATTAATCGAAAGTAGAAACTTATTTAACTATTTAATAAAATAAATTTTTATTTATTTCTTTGTAAAGATTTACTTGATCGTCCACAACCTCCAATTGTAATTGAGATATCATCAACAGAAGCTTATCTTGTATGAAGTTCACCATTATATGATGCTAATAATAAAATAAATGGTTTCCATGTTAATTGTAAAGCACGTGAAGATCTTAACTGGACACAATCAACATTCACAAATAAAGAATCAGCATTAATACATGGCTTAAAATCATCATCATCAACATATTATCATTTTTGTGTATCATTTATTAATCGTATGGATATATCAGCATATTCATGAGCATCACAAGAAGTTCGTATGCTTAATAAAAAATACTGAAAATGAAATTTTATTAACAAAAAATTGATCGACAATCAGTATATCGATTATTTGAACATTAACATCGTTTAGACGATAAATATTTCAATAACATGATTAAATAATAATCATCAATATAACTTTTCAGCTATATTGTCAAAGAAGTACTTAAGCATTTTTTTTTATTTTAGATTTTTATTCAAAGTTATTCTGACATTTACTTATATCGAATTATCATTAAAACTTGATTATGGAACTCAAAGAAGAGATTATCGTTTCTGGAGTAAGTTACTTCACTTTCACATTGATATTTGTCAATATTCTGATTATCTTTCCATATAGATTAATGTATTAACATCTGGACGATTTAGTTCAGTAAGTGATGTAATCCAATTACGAAGTGGTCATGTTTTCCTCGACATTATAAAAATGATGTAAATTGTTTATACATGGGAATAGTGAAAATGTTCTAGCATTTCGTTCTATTTGTGCAGGGAAATGATATTCCATTCATCTCTCTATACCATATATTGGAGGTAGTTGTTGTAATATTCTATGAGAAGTTTCATTCTTTTAACATACTTCTAAAAGCTTCCCATAGTATATCACAACTACCTCGAATATATGATGTAAAGAGGTGAATGGAATGTCATTTCCCTAAATAGATATAACAAGTGCGAGAACGTTTGACTATCCTATGTATAAAAAAAAGACAAACAATTAAAATAATTTTTAATTTTAAAGTGAATTAAAAAAAGGTCCAAATGGTATACAAGAATTTCCACCCAATGATATTCAGGCTATATTCAACTTCATTGAACAATACACATTAAGTATGTTCGTTTATTAATCATTTATCTTTATTTGTGATATTATTTCCAGATTATACATCTACAAAAATCGAATACAACAAGGATGAATTCATGTCTAAAAAGAAGTACTTATCAAAAGTAAGATTAATATTTATTTCATAAGATCAATAATCATTCATTGATTCTATCAAATTTTAGATTGGTGGGTGTGGGTGGATGTAGGTATATTAGAGAATACAAGATTCACACCGACACCCACACCCACACCGACACCCACACCCACACCGACACCCACACCCACACCCACACCCACACCCACACCCACACCCACACCCACACCTACACCCACACCCACACCCACACCCACACACCCACCCACACCCACACCCACACCCAAAGGTACCCCCTAATAGCAGGACTTGAGTACCCAAGGGTACTCCATAAAAGTAGGACTTGAAGATCCAAGGGTACCCCGTAATAGTAGGACTTGACGACCCGTAGGTATCCCTATAGGATAGCCCTTGAGGACCTATGGGTACCCCTATAGGATAGCCTTTGACAGAAAACATGGACTGCAGGTTATGGTAACATATGGACTGGTGTGAAGTGAGCTCCAAATTTGGAGTTTACGCAATTTGGAGCTCACTTTTTTTGACCATAAGAACTCATTCTCTTGATGTGCAAGTTGTCTACCCGATGCGAAATGGTGAAGAAAAACCAGTCTGCATGTTTAATAATTGTGAAACTGAGCTTGTTTTCACAGTTGAATCTTATTAAAACATGCAGCTTTAAAAAGAAACTTAATAAAAAGCGTTGAAGGACCTAAAAATGGAACATATAAAGACTGAAGAAAGCAAGAAAAAAATCAAAAAAAAATCAAAAAAATCTGTTTTTAGCTGTTTCCCCCTTGAATTATAGACGAAACCAATGAATGAAGTTCATTGTGTCGTTTCATCTCGGCGTTGCACGCGGACAATCATATTTTTAGGGAAAATAACAAAAGTTTCGTTGAGTTCGTCGATTGAATGATGTGTTTGTTGACCACAATCAATAATCGAATAGGTTTTAAGAAGTCTAGCAAGTAGTACTTTGATTTCCATCAATGCAAATCGCATTCCCACACAATTTCGCGGCCCAGCACCGAATGGAACCCAGGCTAATGGATGTCGCTTTGTAGCAAATCGTTCTGGACAGAATATATGCGGATCGACTGGACCCCAAAGATCCGGATTAAAATGTAAATCATAAATACTGGCAGTGATAATAGTACCAACTGGAATAGTTCCAACGTTTTCAATGTAAAACTCTTCGATATTCTTTCGATTGATAATGGTCTGTGTGATTGGATACATACGAAGAGTTTCTCGAATGAACATATCCAAATAGCTCATTTCGGCAACCAATTCGTAGCTCGGTATGTCCTGTTCGGTATTTGACTCAAAATGAGCATCGATATCCTCTTGTAATTTCTGTTGTTCATTTGGATGAGTAGCCAGAACATAAGCAATGTAGCCCAGTGCCGTACTCGTCGTCTCATAGCCAGCGAACACTAAAAAACAGATGGAATTAGCGAAAAGAAAAAATCGAGAAAGAAACAAAAGGTAATTACTGAAGAGAGGAATATTTGCAGCAATTTCATGTTTGGTCAGTTTCCGAACAAGCGGTATCTCATTGATCGTTTCAGCATTGGCAACGGCGGACGTTGGTTGGTCCTTTTGGAGTAAAAAAACAGAACATTATTTTAGATTGGATCATTATTTTCATTAAAAAAAATTCTTTTGTCACGAGGAACTGAATTTGACTGGGTACAAGTTTCTCGTCAATCGTAGACCCTTAAAACAGCAGAATATTGATTCAAAACCAATGCGACACGTTAGACGAAAAACTATTCAGTTCTAACAAAAACTTTAGCAGGGATAAAGTTGAAAATTAGAAAATTCTCTTTGAATTTAGAGCGTATACGAAGTTTTCAATTTCATAAATTATTATGATTATGGACAAAGAAAGATCAGTGTTCATATCTGTCTCCATCTCACTCGAACGATTGGATTTAACAAATAGCTGAGATAGACGTTTTTCTAATTAGTGTACTGTGTTTTCGTAATAAAATACTTATTGCAAAAAGGAATGATATGAAGATCGATTATAGTGCACAACGTATAAGCAAAATCTGAGAACTAGAAAACTATTTTTGTTAATCTCAACAAGACTTTCAAAAGCGTAATCGTCCTCCTTCGAACAATCTTTGACAATGATGATGCTGAATCATAAAGGAAAATAATTTCATACTTGAATGAAATCATCGTCCGAGGCTGATTCGAGCATCAATTGCAATAGATCCATTCGTTTTGTATAGCCTAATTCAACGCGTTTCTTGATCAATTGTTCAGCTTGATTCTCTAACCACGTCGTGGGGTCATCACTGATAAATCTTCGTGTTATAGGTAGATAGTTAGTTAACCAATATCGAATAGAACTATCACATCGATGAAGTCCATTCCACATCCATTTGAGTTCAGTAATTAAAAGAAATAAGATCATAAGTGGCGTAAAATTATTCCCTTCGTTTGTCACCCGTTGTGATTGAACAAGATACGGATCATTTGAATTATTCTGCATGTCAGTATCCAGACCAAATCCACATGACCAAATTGTATCCATTGTAAAACGTTTAAAAAAAGCATAGATATCGAATGGTTGATCACATCGATGTTGTTCAGCTAATTTTTCCATGAAAGAATCAATACATCGATTGATTAGTGGAGACATTTGTTTGAGTTTCAATGATGAAAATGTTGGATTAATGACAAATCGTTGTCGTTTCCAACGAACACCGTTGGCGGCGAATAGATGAACATGTTTTGCGTGACGATCTTCGAATGGAAAATCGCGACGCGAAGGAAAACTAGAGAATGATTTGATGAATACATCTTGTAAAATATCTGGATCCGAGATGACAAGAATGGGTGTATGTCCTTCAAAATAACCGAATATACGGCCATATTTTTTCGTCCATTCTTGAACCTTTAATGAAAAACGTTTTGTTTCGAAAATTTCCAAGAGGTTACCGAAAAAAAATCGTGGTGGTGGACCAGGAATGTTCAGACGAGTGAAGAAACTGTAGGCTCGATGAACGTGCCAACCATAGGAGACGATCAAAATGAGTAAAATACCAACGAGTATACCTGTGAGCATGGCTTGATTCTACTTCTATCTGTGCCTCTTTTTGTTGTGATAAACACAGTTGTTATCAAAGCGTTATCGTTCTTGTTTTTCTTCATATTCTTGAAACACGTGTTTTCACCTTTCTTCTCTTGCTCTACCCTTATGTGATACCTACTATTAGAGGATTACTCTTTATTCCTTTTCTATGCTCGTTTTTATTTCGAATGGCCTAAGAAAAGAATACGGGTTAGAAAAAAGAATCAAAGAATGTGAACAGAACACAACAAATGTCGATAAGAACGGAATGTGTGAAGGCATATAAGATATATGCCCGTAACATACTTCCCTACCGACGGAAATGTGGGTCAACACACATTCGAAAAAATACGAAAATAAGAAAGCAAAGAAAAACGAGAGATTGCTGATATAAAGAGAGAAAGGAGAGAAAAAAAATTGAATAAAATATAAAAAGAAAAATTCGATGGTGCAACACCATGATAGGCGAAAAAAAATGTATGTCATGTTTAAATCGAAAGAGAAAAAAAGATGTGCGTGAGTGTGGGTGTGTGTTTTAGCTTTTATCACACACATCCATACCCACACCCACACCCACCTTTAGCTCGAATGATATCTCACGCATCTCAACATACGACTCTAATCTAATCCCAGGCTAAAAATGAGATAACCACAAGCAGATTAAACACAAAGATGAAATATTTTGAAAAAAAAGTAAAAAATCGACTTTTTGAGATAGGGGGCATCAAAAATCGTTTTTTTTCGAGGTCAAAACGTCATCAAAAGAATTTTTTTTTGGAGATCGATAGAGGGCACTTCAGAGTATATCAATGGAAAACAAAAAATCGAAAAAATTTTCATTTTCATGTTAGGAAAGATGGTGGGTGTTAGGTAGTGGCGCTATCTTTTGTCCACTACCTCCTTTTTCTTCTCTTTCTTCTATGTTCTATTGATTGGTCATCTGTGTGATCCATAAGAATAGATAGATGACCGGATAGTTAGTTAGTTAGTGTATTTGTTTTTCCCGAGTAGAAAAGAATAAAAACGTGAACCAGGAGTGTTGATCGACACTTCCTAACAGTGGGTATCCTTAACCCATGCCCAGATAAAAGACGAAAGGGTGTGGGTGTGGGTGTGGGTGTGGTGTGGGTGTGGCTGTGGGTGTGGTTGCGGTGTTGGTGTGGGTGTGGTGTGGGTGTGGTGTGGGTGCGGGTGTGGGTGTGGTGTGGAAGTGTGGTGTAGTGGAAACAAGACCCACACCGCACACCCAGCCACCCACACCCTCCTTTTTCAAGGTTGTCACATACAGCAGAGTAGGTTTATTTGCTTGGTTAAAATGTAAAAATTCGTTTTCAAGATTTAGTGTTTTAGCTGCTAATCAGCTAGAAGAAGGTTTGTGGAAGCGAACAGTGAGCTGAAATACAAGAAGTCAAATCGTCATTATGTTTTCATCGAATATTTGTTGCATTAGATATAAAAAGTCCTTTATTGATCTTCGGTAGTTCTTGCAGATCCCATTCCATATGCAGCAACAGCCAGTGCCACATAAGTAAAAAAGTGTCCTGCGACCGCCAAGTTATACGAATATCCAGCCTGGGCACCTTGGATCAGTGATAATAATTGGTCTGATGCAATAGTTAAGTTGTACTGAATTATGGTTGTTACCAGTGTAGTTTGTATACTTGAATAGAGATAATACCAGGAAATCGCGTAACCACCAATGATGAAGATTGAAGCAAGAAAGATTATAATAGGAGGCACGAATGTAATTCCAATTGATGAAAAATTGATCACTCCTACAACAAGACAGATGATAACACTGAATCCTAGTAAGAGAATTCCAAGTATCAATAAACCAACAGGAGTTGAAATCGGAGTCGATAGATTGATACAAGTACCAAAAGTACCATCGTAACAAAATTTAAAGAAGCCAAGATATGCACCAACCGAAGTTGTATTATCATTTGGAGTTATATTGAATTTACTTACTATCCAATGTGGTGTTGCAACACTAACTATAACAAACACAAGCGCCACCAGCGATAAAAAGGCGCATGTTCCATGGATTATTTTCATAGAGACATTCGTGGATTTCACCATTCCTCTGTCAGGTTTAGGGAACTTTCAGGAAAAATTGTCTGATAATCTAAAATACGGCATTAAGAGGAAGATTAACGAAATAAAGTTTACAAAGGATTCAGCCGATTTTGGTGAATAAAATAACAAAACATCATCTTTAAAAGACGTGTTATACTCGTTTCTGTTTGTCAAACAAGACATCTTCTCACGATGTGTTTACTGCTCATTTAATGTCTGTTTTTCTATTCTAAATAAATTCACTTGTACTTATCTGGAACAAACTATGGCACAAATATTGAATCTCATGCGGTAACCCAATTCTAGCCGATCCGACCGTGCCTTAGATAATGATTTAGCAACGATGTTAGTCAAATATTCGACAGCAGCACATTTTCGCTGTCTTACTCAAACATCAGCATTGGTGAAGTTAAGATCACTAACTACATTATCAGAAGAGAACATTAAACCGGTGTTATTTTTCTGTGCTTCTTCTATCTTCTTGCGTCTACTCTCCTAAGAAGCCAAAACATGAACATGATTATTTCTCTATATATAAAAAAACATGTCTATTTGTAGGACGGTCATTTTAATCGATTATTTTGAAAAACAATTCATGTAATTTCAATCTAAAAACATCATGCAAAATGAATCAAATTCATCTAACTGAAATAAAGAAAGTTATATTGAAAACTAATCGAAATAATGGAATGAATCTGATTTTTCGAAACTAGTGATTATTCATTGGATGAAAACGATTGAAATCGAATTGTTATAATAAAATAAATTTGGTTTTCAAAATTTAATCGAGCTAATGGAACGTTTTCGATGAGACGGACAAAGATAATCATTGAAACAGAATTAGTTTCATTACTCAACTTCCTGATCTCGGTTTCAAATAACGTAATCTGACGATCACTACTCATGAAAAAATAGTGATGAAAAAAACGGTCAAGAACTCGTTCTGGAAAATATGGATCGCAATCTATTGGGTGAGAACACGTTCAGAGAAAAAAAGAAACGTGTTCAAACTCGTTCCACAAAATAGTAAAACGCACTCAAAAGCGTTCTTCAAGCACGTGTTTGAATGCATTCAATGAAGAAGCGATGTTATTTTGCCATCAAGTGGCAATGATCCAACCCACATAGGTCTTTATTTTACATTATGATAAAGATACCTTCTAAACATATATGTCAAAAGAATATACAAATAAAACTACAGGTTCAAATGCTTTCAATCAGGTTCGGTAGCCGAATAAATGTATATTCATCACTAGAGAAAACTGAAGAAACATATATAGATGGTGTTGCTTTTTATCGTTTATTGTGATTTTCTCGAAATCTACTTACATGACAGCAACGATTTTCTTTCAGTTAGGACTCTGACTAGAATAAAAAAGATAACGCTGAGTTATGCATTGTGTTTGGTCAGAATTACCGTTTCACGCAATCAAATTCTCAATTTGTTATTAACTTGTATTGTATAGCCATAACCTAAAGCAACAAATAAAAAAGATATATCTGTCGAATGCGGTTAGTGCCAGTGTTTTTCGTGGAAAAGTCAACCACGATCTCGTCAATGTGATGATCTTATACATAAGACAGTGGATCATTGAACGGAATATTTTTTCAGAATTTGTGAAAGTTGTGCATCAATGGCAGTATAAACAAATGTAGAATAGGTATGTTAATTTATATTTACTTTGAACTTAATTTATGCGCAAGTCAAATTATCAGAAATTTTAATTTAAAATACATTAAAATTACGAATAAAAATAAGTTAAATTTATTTTAAATTTAAACTTCTGATAATTTAATTTACGCATAAGTTAAACTGAAAGTACATATGAATTAACAGCTCTGTATCTTAGTTATCCCAAAATCCGATTATAACGAGAGAATTGTGAAGATATAGAAAAATATCGAATTTCACTTTCTTGTTAGCTATAAACAAGAAACCAAATATATAATAAAATGCGCACAGTAGCCTAAGAGAAATTCGATAGATTTGTAACGAAAAGTACCCAGATCGAATTTAAGAAGAAGCATAAAAAGACCGCTTCAGAACATGTTCTCGAAGACTACCCAGGTCGAGTATGACGATGACCAAATAGGCCCTTACACAGCGGCTAACAATGCCGTAAATGACTAACATATGGCTGTATACGTGCCGTAAATTGACGGGTGTGGGGATGAGTTGGGGGTAGGCTGTGGGTGGGTGCGGGTGTGGCTCTGGGTATGGATGTGCAGGTGTGGCTGTGTGGGTGTGGGTATGCGTGTCGGTAACTCTTGTATAACTATCCACATCTACACCCACCCACACCCACACCCTCCATCCAGCTTATCGCTTCCCTGAAAGATGATAAAAAAAAGCGCACACACTTTTAGCATCGACTCAGAAGTACATCGTAAGTTTAAAAGAATGCACTTCTATACATCTGAAGCAGCAGTAATCTTGGTCTTCGGAACTCAATTTCGATAGGCATTTATCTAAACTATACCGTATCTAGTTCACTCATTATATGTATACCGGGTGTCCCAGAATAATTGCAACATCATTCATTTTGTGAATATTTCTGTACTGACAAATGATATAATCTTGATTCTTTTTTCAGAAGATGCGCCTTGAAAAGCTCTACAAAACTAGTACAAACAAATCCCGATTCAATTGCTCTAATGTCGTTTCTCATACTCAAAATGGACAATCTACATGATAGTGTTACTTCCCATCATATTGAAATTTGGTAACATTTTGTTTCGTATATATCCTGACTTATGTAAATGTTAAAACCTTGAATCCTTTTTTTGAAAGATGCACCTTCCAAAGATCTACAAAACCAGTATAAACAAATTCCTATCGAATTATCCTA